CTTGACTCTATTTCAGTTGTGCTCATGTTCACCTTTTCCATGCTTTTTCCTTCCCACTGTCCCGTCTCTGTCTTTGCAGGGCGGAGCTGCACGCCTCAGACAGCAGGTATAGGGCTCAGAGGAGAATCACTCAGCTGCTGCAGACAGAACTCCTGCAACTGTACAGCAGAGTGGAGATGGAGACTCCTGCCAGTACCGCCACCAATTCACCACAAGGGGGCAGAACTGACCCACACACTCATGCCAACTCCAGGTCAGGATCAGAGCTCTCTTTTCAGCTTCTACTTGTGACAGTTGGTTACTGTATGTCTATATGTTGCGAGCATTTCACCCATTTTATTACTACGTTTTAGATGCCTTGAGATGTAAAACTATTCACTATTACTCTATGTAATAAAAATCAGAAAAGGAAATTTTTTTGCATGTTATTTTCCTCATTTTCTTTCTTGACCCCTCAGATATATAGACAAAGCTTGGGAGAAGGTGCCCTCCCAACTCCCCCTTAGTTTACTTGCTTAGCTCAATTCCTGGGTGCCTATAGGATCATGATTATTTTATTTGATTCAATAGACACTCCGCAGTTTAGCGAAGATATTGCTGATTGACATAACTTCAGACTACACCAAATATATTTAAGAAACAAAGGTCCGTCCTAAGGCATTTATTAATTTCTGACTCTGATAAAGTAGGAAAAAACTAAACCCAGTTCCCCAAAACTACTGTATCTCTAGACACCGTCTTTAACCACATCACACACGTAGGATATGTGATCTGCTTTTGATAAGTAATGTAATACTGTTTCACTTCCATTCACTGAGCCTCCCCTGAAACTGTTTGGACCCCCCCCTTGAAAACCTCTGTCTTAGATTATGCACGTGCACATTTGGTCATTTGGAGTCAGGTAGACATTTTTGTTGTTTTTGTCTTATTGGCACTTAATACTTCCTTCTTTTTTCGTTACATTATACTGCATTAATAATAGCACTCCCATCAGCAAATTGCTTTAGATGTCACATCTGATATTTTTAACGCACTTAGTGCACTTTCTAGTTTTTCACAAAGAAGATCAGAGTAACGCAACTTGTGTCAGGTTCGGGTGTCTCGTATGCACTGATTTTGCTAAGAAGCGACACCTGATAAACCAAGGCTCTGGTTTATCAGGTGTTACAAAACCAAAACTACCTGTACTTTTCTTGGTACTTGGTTTTTCTTTAAATGTGTGAATGTTTTTGTCCCCCGCAGTGTCATGGTGCCAGATGGACCAAGTAAAAGTCACACCGACGAGGAGGCGCACAGTAGACCACCGCACGACTGCCCTCATGGCAACGGCAGCACTTTATCGCCAGGGCAACCAAAGGCGAGCAACTCTTCCAAGACAACAGCCAAGTCCTTCAACGGCAGCCAGGACCTGGCCCCACCCCTGCTGGTGGAGCCCTCCCTGTCCTGTCCCCACACCAACCCACTTGCACCCCTGCCTCCCACCGACGCGCCACTCACCGTGGGCTCCTACCCCAGCGCTAAGAGCTTCCTGGGCATGAGGGCGCGTGAGCTGTTCCGCAACAAGAGTGAGAGCCAATGTGACGAGGAGCAACCTCCGCCGCGCCTGGCCGGCCTTGCCCACGGCCTGAAGACTGAGCTGTGCGTGGAGCCGCCCTCCCCAGGTTATATCGTCCCCGTTGGCCCTGCGCCTTTCCCCGTTCCGACTCCGCCCCTAGCCCCTGCCCGCGCTACTCCTGTCACTGTGCCCATTAAGGAGCCCCCCTCTGAGCCCAAGCAGCGGGCCTCCAGCCAGGAAAGCCCCCGCAGGAAGGTAGGGGCAGGGCCTGGTGGAGGGCGGGGTCAGGCGGGGTCGGGGCGTCCCCGGCAGCAGCAGCTAAAGATCATGGACTACAATGAAACACATCACGAGCACAGTTAAGAGACACAGAACTGAGCCGGGGCGGAGGAGGAGAGACTGAAGTTTAATGACAGAGAAGAGCTACCAATCAGCGAAAGAGTACCATGTCAGCAAATCTTTGGAATTCAGTGTTATATGTACCATTCCTCTGAGTGGACAACAGGATTTCCCCCAGTGTTTTTCTGCTTTTCTTTTTCATACTGATTCATTCCCATGAAGAATATTGACACGATTTTAAGGATACAAAGTCGATGTGTTGTTACCAGTGGAGATGTCAGACCTATGAATTTGGTTAGGAGACAATGATTGTCAAAGATGTGCAGACAGGATGTGAGACTGACATTTAAAGGGGTAGTTCACCCAAACTACAAAAATGTACATTTTCCCACTTGGCTAGTTTAGCTTTAATTTGTCCAAATTTTTCTGTCAACACAATAGAAGTGAATGCAAATACGTTTGAGGTGCTCACAGCATTTTCATATTAGTTAAAAAAAAAAAAAAAACAATTCTGCAGCAAATTGCCTTCTGACACAGTCCCACAGTTACTTGGATAAACCGCAGGCATTTCTGATAAGTTTTCATCGAAACTACATTCTACTGAAGAAATTGTCCCTTTGAAAAGAGTAACGGGGACAAGTTACTGTTGTAAATGTAATTTTTAAATGCTGTGAGCGCCCCATATAAAGTTCATTTCACCTCCATTGTGTTGCCTATGGAGGCAGGAATCTCAAAACATGAACAAATAAAACCTAAACCATCTGCTCTAGTCGATACCACTGGAGCTAAGTGAGAAAATGTTTTTTTTGTGTGTAATTTAGATGTATTGAGAGTATGTACACTACCGGTTCTTATCAAAACAGATATTGAAAAAAACACCAGAAAAGCTACATTTATCATGATTATCTGTTAGGTATGCTTTGACATTGACTGTGGACTGAAATATGTTTTTGATATTTGTGTACATGTTGAGCGAGTGTTATATCAAAGCGGTTGAGGTGATCAGATGTGATAGAGATGTTTGGTTTGTTCTGGGGAAACCTTGAAGGGCGACCTTGTCATTGCTGGACTGAACTGGAAACATTTCCATACTCCACTGAGTTTTTTGTCCAAAATAGGTCTGAAGGAGAAAGTGTTTTGTTTGCAATGTGTGAGTGTGTAAGTGATGCAATGAGGAAAGTGTATGAAATTTAGAAACTGATGAAATGTTATGCATTTTTATGAATTCCACATTCTGTCATACCTTTTTATTTGTTTATTTATTCAGCCATGAAGGGTCCTTACAAGAATTTATTCTAAATTTGAATCAGACCTGGCAAGTGACACAAGCCCAAGCTATAAAAATCTGTCCTATTCCAAGACGACCACCTGATAATTTTGAAGTGTCATGCAAAACATTTGTGTTCTGGATTCAAACATCTCTAAACAGAAGTGTTGTTTCTCATGTTGCATGTACATTCAGCTGGTACAGCGTGGGAAACAAAACCAAAAACATGGTGTCCAATCAGGTTCCCTTGAGCAGGTCTAATAAACACAAAGTTACCTTTTTTCTTCGAAGTATTAGAAGTAAATTCTGGTTTTGAAAGTCGTATAAATCCTGTTGTCCACTGGGAACTCCTGCTGTCACTTCCTTTTGCCTCGCTATCTAAAGCATGTTCAACAATCCACTTTAAATGCCAACCGTAGTAACTAAAGCAAACCAAGACAGAAGGTACAATCAGCACAAACTGAAGAAACCAGTACTCTGGCCGAAGCTGGAGAATCTGGGACAAAATGGCAAAAAAGGAAGTTCTTAAAGCAGTGGCTTGTGTTTAACTGTGAACAATAAAGATCGTCTTCAATGTTTTGCACTACAATTCTGAGTTTTGCCTTTTTTTCCGCTGCTGAATGTGTAAGCCCCTCCATTTGGTTTGTAGCCCTGTGGAAATCCAGCATCAGCGTCTTTTTTTCGTTATGTCCAGTGAAGGTTGAGTTTGTTTGTTGTAGTTTGTTTGGACTGGACACTTTCAGATGTTTGCAGATTGAAAAGAGTCCGATCATCCTCTTAAACTCTGTTGTTGGTTTACAGCTAGACAGAAAAAAGATTAAATGAATAATCAATTATTTGATTGTCAGGAAATAATTCTAATAATTGATTTAGTCATTTTTCAGCAAAAATACCAAACATTCCCTTGATCCATCTTCCTCAATGTAAGGATTTGCTGCTTTTCTTCATCTTATATGTTGGTAAACTGAAAATTTGTTTGTTCTTGGAATGTTGGTTGGACGGAACAATTTAAATGTAACTATTTCAGTAAAAACACTGATAATTAACATAATTTTCATGTTTTCAAATAATCTATCTATCGAAGTATCTATCAGGTATCTATCAAAAATTTAAGTTGCTTGTATACATTCTTTGATTATGTTTCCAAATCTAAATCCTAAGGCTATATTTTATTAAGGAAAAGTTTTTCACAAGCATTTAAAAATGGCTGGAGACCATCATGGGCTCAGAGGGGATATTGCAGTTTGGCATATTATTAGTTTGAACGTGTTCATCTTTACCAAACTCTCAAAAATGTATTGTTTTAACACTTTGATATATAAAACAAATTTAAATAATACCCAGTCCTACCTATAACGATAGGTGCCATTTACATTGGGGATGCTGGGGGCATGTCACCGTCACTTTTTAAAAAAAGTATTTGTTAAAAATGTTGTGAAAAAGCTTGCACCAAGAAATTTTAACTAACAAATGAAAATGCTTTGAAAAAGGTTATTTGCACAATAAGAAAACATGCAATACAATTTGCCATAGAAACAAATGTGGATTGTCCAAAAAAAAGTAACCTAAGCTATAAAAAAAAAAAACAAGCTGCAGATTACTGCATTATTTTCTGTTATATTTTAATATTTATGAATTCTCCCCTGGCAGCTGAATTTTTTGTTTCCCTTTATATAAAAAAAAGAGATTTACACTGTAGATTGGAGTAGAAAATGTCTCCGGAATGCAGGACATTAAGTTAAGTATTTATTGCTCAAAGTCTTCTGGGGGAGGACCCCCAGAACATATATTTCAACATTAAATTGGCTATTTCTTCAAAATAGTGTTAAAAATCTTGTCTTGTTCTCGTAAATCCTCTTATGACCCAAGTATACATGAGGCTATCATCACTCCCCGGATCAGGTCCCTTAAGTCCCCACCACTTTTCAAAACAAAGTGACAGCCTTGCCTGTTACACAAAACTAAGAATTACAAAAATCCTGACAGTCAACATCACTAAATGTACCACTGCACTATCAGTAGAAACCTTATAAAGTTGTAATGTAAAAAATACAGAATTAAAATGGTTACAAAATATGACAACTGCTTAAACAAGTATATAGTTGCATCAACATTTAGTTAACCTGTAAGTTATATAAATTGTTACTTTTTTAATTAACCCTATGTTGCCAAGAGTTAGCTAAACCAACGCCAGATAAGAACACGTTTGTCCGTTCAATATGCTGCTACAGCCCATTAGCTTAGCATTTAAGTGTGGAATTAACACGTTATCACGTTTGTTAAATCTGTATAATATTTGAACTAAATTATGCTAAAGCCGTCTCCTGGCTCATAGCTTCTTATTTAATGGACAGATTTGAGAGTGGTAGCAGTCTTCTCAGCTAATTCGGCAGCGAAGCTAACAACCTTATTTCCCAAAATGTCGAACTCTTCCTTCAGTAACGTTAGGTTACACAGGTGAGTGCCAGTCTGAAATACTAATATTATCAAATCGAACATTTCGAATTGGCTAAACAAACCAAAGAAATGCAAGGGAGCCAGTTCCTGCAGTCAATACATTTTCATACAGTAAATGGGAACCTTACAAAGATTTAAAGACAAAAAAACCTCTGAACTGTGAACTCAACGGTGAATTTCATTTGCATGCATGAAAGCTGCGTTTCATATTGGTTTTATTAGTGTGTGCTGCCCCTGTTTAGGGTTTTAAGCTGTTACACTTCATTTTAGAGCACTTTGTATGGTCCTGCACCAATGACAGTTGTCAATGTTTTCTTTTCCAATCATTTACTTTATTTCTCTCACTTAAAGTTTGGTTGCCATTTCTAGAATATGCCAACAATTGCTGCTGACTTTCCAAAAAAAACAAGGGTACATTTCTGTGATCATTTTTTTCACAGATACTGTAGGTGGCCCTGTTTCCATGTTGTTTGTTTACTTTTATTCATCTGTTTGTTGTCCTGTTTCCACCAGAGGACACTGTTGCTCCAAAAACTAACACCAGCCCCTGCAGCCATGTTGGGATCAACAGGTAAGGCAATCTGGTAAATATGGTTTTACACAGTTGATGATTGAAGATGATCCTTAGGCTGTTAAGGATGCTGCTAAGGTCAGTGTATGACAGCAGAATTAATTATATTGACTAGAAGTGCTAATTTGCCTATGTCTATGTATTTTTTCTTTAGTATTCCAGTTCACTTGAGATTACTTTATCAGGAAAGGTTCATATCACGAAAAAAACTGAAACACCTTCTGTAGACAAGAAACCCAAACCAGAAATTTTATTGATGCTTAAACAAAAGTTCCGTCACAATAACTTATAGAATTAAATCTATTTTATTAATGTATTAGATACAGATATGTACATAGTAGGAAAAAACACTGTGCACTAACCGTATTGTGACGTTTTGTGTTTATGTTTTTCCGTGTGTGTGTGTGTGTGTGTGTGTGTGAATGTTGGTGTGTGTGGTTTGTGTATGTACATGCGTGTCTGTGTGTGTTTTACCAGCTCCCAATTCCCTGGGCCATGCTGTTAACTCTCATCCTGCTTCCAGGACTGAATCATTTTTTGTGAGTATAACCGACCAAGTATGATTAGTTTATCAAACGCGTGCATATGTATTTCACGAGAGAGAGAGAGAGTCCAAAAAAAAAAAAAAAGTGGTATGATTAATTTACCAGCATTCCGCAGGGTCAAGGAAATTGATGCAGGATAATTGGGCACATAGGGAATCGTTGGCAATTTGTGCTTTCAGACTCTACTTGAGAAATTAGATGTCAGTGCAAATGTGAAATTGCTCCTCAATGTTCTCAAAGATTCCATGAAAATTTAAACATAAATCTTAAGTATTTCCAGCAAAGGGATTCTTTCCTTTTTTTTGTGCCAACTTGAAATGAAGCCCTGTGAAAATGATCTGAATGAAGTGAAAGTGTATGAGTGGGGAAAAAGACATCCGAGCTTGTGTAAAGTTGGGGCTGCACTCCGAGGAGGGTGTCGGGGCCCTTGCTCTCCGTAAAATCCTCATGCAAGAATTCATTAGATTCTTTTTGACAGGAAGTAAAGTTTGAATTCATCTGAAGACGTGTTATTATGATATTCAAGATATGTACACCTATAATGCAAAATATAACTCAGACGGTGCGGTATAGCCTACTTTTTCACCCCGCCAGTTGTCAGTGTAGAAGTTAGAAAGTACAAACGCACGACACATGTTCATATGAATGAGAATAAATTACACAGGAGTGAATAATTGATATAAAGGAGCATCTGATTGTTAAGTTCCGGAGGTCATTGATTGATAAAGTTGCTGTGTGTCTTTTAGTTTAAAAAGAAGTTAGAACATTTTTATTTTAAAAAGCATCGAGACTCTGATAAACCACTTTTATTTTACTTTTTTAAAAAGCTTTCCTATGCAGTGGTCATTAACCGCATTTTATCAATTTAGCTTCAATTACAAGGATTACTGAAAATTAATAAATCATCATCATCACCATGATGAAAACTTGTGGGGAATTTTGTATTCATGCAAGATCAAGATAAACTGATCGCTTAAAAGTCTCGCTCCAAACTCCTAGTTATATTTAAATGTTAGTGTTTATTCCTCACGGACACACAGTGCAGAAGAAAATGCTAAACAAGAATATTTTTGGTAAGCATACTACATACTGACACTCTGGAAAACGGCTTCATTTGTCCTCATTAAAAGCTTAAAAGTCCATGAATAAATAATCATTAAAGAGGATACTTTTTTCCCCCTTTTTTTTTATCTTCGGCCTTATGCAGAACACACTCACTGACTAAATAAATATGCTCCATAAAGGCTGTTTAGAAACTCGCCCTCCCCCCTCTACTTCCACATTGAGAGAGCTGACATGCACCTAAAGATCAGATCCTAGACTGGCTGTTGGTTTTGGAGGGAAGAATTGGACCTCCGAGAGTCAACTTAATGCAATTAAGCGAGGATGATGAGTCTTTCTCTCTCTGTGCTGCTTGAATCAGTAAGCAAGGCAGAATCAAAACTTAAAGGGAAGAAGAAAAGAAAAGAGCGGGAGACGAGCGTGCACAGACCGGTCCCAGCGGTTTAATTATTTTAATTATCTCCCCTCTTTCAGCTTTCCTAAAAAAAAGAGGCCATTAAAGGATGCCCGTTTGGGTTAATCTGATTAAAAAAACAAGATGGAGGGAGAGATGAAAGACTGCAGATGTCAGTGCTAATCAGGGGAGTTAAAACTGCTATTTGTGAACTGGGACGGTTGTTAAAGTGGGTAGAAAGTGCGTGCAGTGTGAGTGTTTTTTTAAATACGTTTTTCCCTCACTTCAAAACACCTCCTCTCTGCAGCCTCTGTTGATAAACTCCCTCTCATGCATCTCCTCAAACTAACGCCATGTTTGATTCTCCGCCGCGCTCTGTAACTGTGCTGGCAGCGGGTCAGGCAAACACGGGAATGAAATGCTAGTAAAAGTTTAAGTTGAGTCCCCAGTGATATGGTTTCGTTTTCGTAAAGGAAGATGCCATTTGAGGAAGGGATGAAAGCAACATTAGCAATTAGCAACACCAAGGTGAATACTCAGATTTTGCAGAAAGTCGGCCACTAAGACACATCATTATCAATTTACCAGTCTCTGCATTTTCATTCTGAGGCAAAAGACAGTTATATGATATATAGTGCTTCTGATCAAGTTATTTTTGCCAAAGAAAATAATTCTTAAAGTGTTATTTTTTTGAAACAAGACAAGAAAATTTGTCATGTGTTTCCCATGCAGATGTCATGCATTTTAGATTTAATTTTTCTTGTGTCTTATGTCTTATTCTTAGGTAGAGGGGGGAAATTGAGTTGAGGTGGGTGTAACTCAACATCCAGCCAGACATTTTTGCACTCAGTCAGAATGGCCTTTTAGTTCTAAAATAATCTTTTTATTTCTATGTTCAACAGAGGGGCATAAACAGAACTTTTGGTTATGCATTCTTGAGTGTGCAATCGTGTTACGGGAATCACACACAAAAGAATTCTGGAAAATTCTTGTATTCTTGTTGCTTTGTAAAGGAAACATATCTTCAAACTGAGTTTTTAATTTTTTTAATGAAAATTTTATTTTTTTAAAGAAAAGTAAAATATTCTATTCAAAAAATCAATTTTTCATAGAACTGACTTGATGAGATGGAGATGGTTTTTGGAGTGTAGTTATTTATTGTAGCTATAAGAAGCCATACGCATCAACTCTACATCACTCAGCAGGCCAAATGCAACGCTGTCATCTCTGATAATGCCGGGAATTGTTAAAGTTCCACCGACTGTAGAGCTTGACATTTGTTCAGGCAAGAATGAGCACAAAACCAGCACAGGTGTTGAGCCACAGCATGGCAAGAGAGGAGGGGAAAGGAGAGGGGCGGAAAAAAAAACAAAGATCTACTTTCAAACTAAATCAAGCAGAAGGAATGTCCTGAGTGTGTACAGAGATGGACGGGAGCCCATGCAATATTAAAGCGCCATGTCTGGCAATGCCAACCGTGCCACTCCTCTCCGCGGCTCCCGCCCTCCCGGCTTCCCGGCCATCGGCTCTTCCCTCAAGGTGACACTTCAAAGCGGGCACGCAGACGTGGCAGGCCTGGCTGTCGGCATGAAGCCAGCACCCCCACCCCCAACCCCCTCTTTCTCTCCCGCCCACCACCTATTCCCCATTCTACCCCCACCCCCACCACCACCTCAAAGACACAGCTCCTACCCCTGCTGGGCCAGGTCAGCGCCAAGATCCACACCGCTCGCCGCCTCGGGAGCCGCTGTCAAAAAACTCTTCCCCACAAGCTTAATTAATAACGGGCCATTCCTAATGCAAACCCTCTGAATCTGCAGCCTGTTTCCCTCCGATCCTATTGGTGAGTTCTGAGGCCTCGACAGAAGGCAGACAAGGAGAGGAGGGCTGGTTGGGGATACATCCAAATCATTTGAATTTCGATGATTGGGATTCACATGCATTATTCTCCGCGCTTTATAACCTATTTTCTGTGTTGTACAGTGTGCCTGCCTGTCTGTCTGGGTGTTTTTTTAAAAAGATGTCTCTCTTCTGCAGATGATTTGAGACACTCGAACCAAAGAATATAGGGCTGCTCTTCTCGGCCTGTCTGACAGGTGGGGTAGGAAAAACCTAAATGTACACACATACACACACCCAGTCTGCATCAGCTGGGTCCAGGGCCTGTAATCACCTCTCAAACCTGGAGGGAGACTTTTACCGAGCTCGCCGTGATCGATATTTGCCGATCCGTCTGCCCGTATCAACCTCAAATAAAAGCAGAGAGCAGGAGACAAGGCAGCACAGGCAGGTCGTGGGGAGGTCTGCGGCACCCCCGTTTGATGTCTGTGAAAGCTCTCATCAGTGTGTGGAACTGGCTTCATCCCGGCACGCCGGGTCACCGCCGCCTCACCGCCGCCTCACCCCGAGCAGAGCACGGCTGATTGTCTCACTGTCGGGGCGAGCGGGGTTGTTGTTTTCCGAGGTGAGAGGACGGATCTTTTCCGGCAAGCTGGACTTCAGTTTTTTAATAGGGCCCCAGCTCCGGCACCTCGCAGGCCCGCTCAGGCCGGCACGCTGATGATTAGGAGGGGAACTGGTCCAAATTCACTCCTCCTCCCCTCCTCCTTCTGCCAGTCCTGAGCTCACGTTGTTACTGTATTTTTATTAAGCGCGTGTGCTCCTCCGCCTCATCCATTGCATTCTTGATGGACTGAGTGGGGTGGGGGTGGGGGGGAAGTGCGGGCTAAACAACCCTGTGTGCCTCGAGAAGCCATGGTTAAATGGTACACGGCTCAGAAATATAAGGTCTGCAAGTACGAGCGCAGCCACAAGAGCATTGCGGCATTTAGGGCAAGGAGCTGGTTGCGTTAGCTGACACGCTGATATAATTAGGTCGTAATAAATAAGAAAGGCAACGGGGAGTGAGGGCGTGTCTCAACAGTGGCCATTAGAGAAACCACATAGGTTGCATTTTAAGAAAAAAAGTCACCTGTCTACCTGGAAATACACACACTTTCTCTTCTTCCTGCTCGGTCTCACACACATTTACCCAGTGTCCTACTTGCAGAGTCCTTCTGAGTGTTGTTTTAAACCCCAGTAGCCCTGGCCCTTTAAGTGAGCTAACAGAGGTGGTTGTAGGCTCAAACCAACCTTAATTAGTACACTTACTGCACAGTGAGGGCAGGTACGAAGGCAAGCCTCCGCACTGCAGTTTCCCTCAGATTAAGCCTCTTTTAGACGAGGCTGTAACCTCCCACAATGACGCGGTAATTAACTTCATTAGCTTTCAATTCTCTTTTAGTTTTGGCAAAGTGGGTGAGGCTTAGTTTTGGCCTCTGTTGAGATAAGAGTTGCAGAAATCGGTTAATCTCATCTGTCTGTGCTTTATCTCCACCAATGTTGCTGTATTTCATGCGTGCTACCTGCTGTTCATCTTGGCGACATGCATGTGCATGAGCGGGTTGTAATGAGTCAGGCATCGGGTTTTAATAAGCACAGCTTTACCCACAGATCCTTCTGTGATTTGCATCCATGTCGGACATGAGGCGTAAAGCGGGGTGATTGATTCATGGCTCGTCCCATATTGGAGCGAGAGAGAGGGAGGAGAGAGAGAGGGGAAGGCCATAGATTTATTATCAAGCTCAGCGACAAAGGGAGGAAGAGAGTGTGCATATGTTAATCCGCTGGCTGAACGATGATCAAAGACTGGAACAAGCTGAGCCCTGCTGATCGCCTCGGGGCAAACGATGCTCTCCAAG